CTGCCGAAGCACACAAAAGAGGCTGCAGAGTTATATCTTTTCTCACTTTTAAGCATTTTCAGCTGAATTGACACATTATATTGCATATAGTGTAACTTAATTGGTTTAACAAATGCCAAAGCAGATCTTTTTACAACATAAAAAAGAGAAAATAACCTTGATGTTTTGGCCGCATTCCTTCATCAGACACTTGCTTTGGAATTCTCCATGAAAGGCTCTATGATGTTATTGTTTCTAAACATGACTGCCAAGGTTTTTAAGTAGGCCTGATTGGTTGATCCTTGATTAAAGCAGTCACGAGTTCACCTTTTTTATTTCCGAAAAAAAAAGGGCATTTTCATTACATTCCTCTTGGTAGCGTTTAAAGGTTCCCCCCCTTAAATAGGCCCATACGATCACTCTCACTAGCAACTGTGTTCTCATTTTTAAGTTCCGTTTCTGTCATTCTTTATGTTTATATATATATGTGTGTGTGTGTGTGTGTGTGTGTGTGTGTGTGTGTGTGTGTGTGATTTAATTTTTTGGGCCCCATGTTATCCACGAGAATACCAGAAATATGCCAAGCCACAAAAACCTGCCCAGAAAAGTAAGGCGCATATCCAGCCCCTTTTTTTCTAAAACAGTGTTTAAGTGTTTTTGAGTGGATTTTCCCCTCAGCAAATCACATTACAGTCAATCATGAATAAACTAAAGCAGATTTTGCTCACTGTAAGTACAGCTGCCTGTATTACTGTGAATCGAAGCTGATTTTTATTACTTTGGATTGTCAACATCAGAGGATTCGCTGGCTATGTGTTTATACACTTTTCCAAGTTACAATGCCAACTTGGAAAAAAATGGGAGGGATACGAATATGTTTTTCTACTTTAATTACTGCCATGGAGACTTCATGTAGCTATCTACTTGGTTGGGGACTTCTATATGTGGCAAATAACACATGCAAACACAGAGATAGGTGGTATACAATCCTAGTATCACTGGGGGTCACAATGAATATTTGAATAAATGGATATTTGCAGCTGATCAGAAGATTAAAAGCACTGATGAGTAGCGTCTACGCTCCTTCATCGGCTGAGGCTAATTCAGCATATTTGCATTTGTCTATTGGTGTTTCTGCTGAGAAAAAAGGGGAAACTCCAAGTGGATGCAGCGGTGACAGATGGAAAGGGAATGTGTGGATCAGGATAAAACAAAGGCGGAAACGCAGGCCAGGAGGAGAGGAAGAAGGGGAGGAGAAAAGAGAAACAGGGACAGAAATGAGGTTTATGTTAGTGGCTGGCCTCTGAGATGATTTTCCATATCAGCAGGCCAGAGAGACAGAGTGGGCAAATATGATTTTCTCCTCAACTCAACCAACAGAAAACAGACAGAGAGGGTCAGGAGTCAGGTGACAGGAAAAGGGAAAAAGGGGGGAAAAGACGAGAAAAATGAAAGTAATGAGTAAATGGAAAAAAGATGGAGAGATGGGGGAAGGGCAGAGATCTGATAGGGGTTAGACATTAAAGAACAGCTGTGGGAAGAAAGTCAGGAAGGAATGCAAAGTATTTACATTGCTAAACTTAAATCACAGCACTACTATTTGAAATAGTCGCCTAAGCTTCTTTTTCATTCAATGCAATTTTATTTTGTGGCCAAGATTTGTGTTTCTTTTTAAAAAACCCATTGCTCATGTGAAAGTTGTCTTTCTTTTCTATCGTCTGTTGCACTAGACTTGATACAGGTAGCGTTATGTGTGCATCAGTGTGTATTTGACGTGTCAGTGTCAGTATACGTTTGTGCGAGAGTCTGCATTGCCAGGGGCCTTGAGAGCAGCCTTACACGAGCTGTGTTTTATTATGACTGGCTGAAAAGGCCGCTGATCTACATTTGTACAAGAGAGGATTTGGAGGGAGGAGGGGTGGGGGGGAGAAAAAGAAAACACTGCAACGATCTGCTGTGAGAGAGGAGAGCGTGCGCGAGAGGAGGGGGGAAGAGAATAGGGGAAGATGGAAAATGAAAGTCTCGAGTGTCTTTTTCGTTTCCTACAAATTTTTTATGACTACAGAGGCTGCGGATATCAAAAGCAAAAGATGGAAAGATTTCGACTTTTAAATATTCTGGCTTGTGTGTGTGTTTGTCTTGATCACTGTGTGTGTGTGCGTGTGTGTTCTGATGCTTGGGATCCAGCTGTATAAATACACACACACACACACACACACACACACACACACACACACACACACACACACACACACACACACACAGATTTGTCTTTTAATACTCGCTGCTACCCCATCTTGCTCTTGACTTATCCCAGTACCCTCCCTCTTGCATATGTGTGTGTGTGTCAGAGACAGATTGGCAGACAGCTAAAGGCACTTGTGGTTGTGGTTGTTAGGGCATCGGGACGTCGTTGAGGTGAAGGTACTGTACGCGTGTGTTCCTGTGTGTGTGTGTGACTCAGATGTGGACTGTTGTGGTAATTGCCTCTGATGCGACGCAGCGTTTATGAGTAACGACCCAACCCACCACCTCTCTCTCGCCCTCTCTTTTTCTCTCTCTCTCAATCCCGTGACTAATTACCTGATTCCCTGTGGATTTGTTTCCTCCTTCCCCTACAACTGTTCAGTTTGTTCCACTAAATGAGAGCATGCTGATGAGCCAAACTGAACTGAGTCTTCTTGCTCAGTTTGCCGAAACTGTTACAGCATGAGATTAGACTTGCACTCAGTTCCGTGCAAGAGCTGAACTTGGTTGTGACCCCGTGTGATGGTTTATGAATGATCAAATCTTTTGAAGGTGCAGAGCAGGCCCAGCCGACCAAATATGTGACCGCAAGAGCAGACTCGTGCTAAGACATGAGATCGAGTTCTATAAATACTGTACCTCTGGTTTGTCTCTTGTTGATTCTTTTACTAGTGTAGGAAACTTGAGTTTAGGAATCTCTTGGGAAGTTGGATTTGCATCTTTGTTCGATTTTTCTGCGAGGAGTTGCAGTGAGTCGGCGACATGTCATTTCAGCAGTTTTTGCAAACCGGTGTTTTACTTGTAACTACCTAATGACTTCTATCCCGCCACTTTATCCCTTTAACACTGATTCTATGCTGGACTCGTTGCCAACCGTCGACTTACAGCTCAGTACATGATAACGGGATTCTCACGTTACGTCAGCAGTGCACACACGTGGCAAAGATGGAATTATGCCTTAGCTTGTAGGCAGCTATTCAACAGGGGAAGGCTCAGGTAATTGCGAGGTTAATTTGTTTATGCTAGCACATATAACACCACCTCACGATGATTCGAGTCAGCTAACCAGTTTTTTTTAAATGTTATATCTTAAAATTCTCGTTCATGTTTGTACTTGAATGGTGCTTGTTCTGATCACAAGTGGTGAATGTAGCTTAGCTAAAAATTTAAGCTAAGCTACAAGCTAACCTAAGTGCCTCAAACTAGCTTGCTTCTAATGGCCACCAGGAGTTGACTGTATAGAAGTTCATGAGAATATGAATTTGCTGCTCACGTGATCTCTTAACTTAGTACACACTTTGTGGATGAGTTTATGATCTTGGTTGCTAGTTTTAAGTTTTACTGAATACAACGCAATGTGCGGTTTGTAAATTATGTCCCCTCTTAGAGTCAGAAAGGAGGACAAAGCAGCATGTGCTTTAGGGTGGCTGTCTTATGCTTGACCTGTCTTTATGCAATGAACGTGCAACGTCCTTTGGTTTCTCAGTCGCATCCCACCTCGTTTGTCAGATCTGATCTCAGAAGAACAAGAGAATGCGTCAATATTTCTCACTGTACTTCACTCACCAGCGGCTAAGTCCACTTTCTATTTGCAGCCTATGGTTCTGATTCACACAGGAACAACCAGTGGAAACGCTACATTACCACATCTTCTATGTTGACCACGTGATGCACATCTACACCAAAAAAAAGCTTTGGCATAATAGGAACAGGCGTAAATAAATTAATACATTCACACAGTTGTGTGATTATTTTACCCCAATCATACGTGGTGAGATAAGAAGTCAGACCGCACTACAAGCCATGGTTATTGTGGTGCCTTTATTTGCATATTTTGTAGAGACTTTAGCATGTATGTTTGTGTTCGTGTTGTAATTAAATGTATATATTTAGCACTTTGGGCTAAAAAAGATCAGAAGTAATATTAACACAGTTTGCAGGGCTCAACTCTCGGGGTTTGTATTTGAGTAAAAGATTTAGGGGGTAAGAAAATGTTTAGGTGTCACATCAGGGGGCTGGTTTTTCATGCAAGGTCAGCTTAAATTCAGTAAGTGGGGCTTCACAGTCACTTGTGTTAGGCGTTAACGCTTTTTAAAAATTCTCTCCACCAGTGGGAATTAGGCACAACACCACTTCAACCTTGCAATCTTTTATTTTATATCTCGTCTTTCACTCTGCTACATGATAGCTATTTGAAGAATAACAGCTAAAATTGCCTCCCGGTGGCCCGAGTAGTTCAGCTGTCTCGGTTTGTCATTTGATGCTAATTCTGGCTAAGACCTGGCATCAAAGTAATGAAAATCATCTAAGGTTAAAGGTATCATCTTTGATTAAAAAAAATAGTTTAATGTCACATTCATGCCTGAGACCCCCATTCTATACCCATGAAGATCAAAATGGAATTCCTGAAGGTTTTTAGTGATTGTAGTTTTAAAGAAAAAAAAAAAGATCTGTGTGTCACATGGTAAGAGGAAAAAATAATCAAAATTGGAGGACTTCCATCTGCAGTGCGAATGTAGCCTGAGGGGATTAATTTCTCCTGGGCAGGTCAAAAATGAGTGTTATTATTATTTTTCTCAGCAGTAGTCAGTGATATTAATATGTCTGCAACAAACTACATCTCTTTCTTGGCACAAGGTAAAATCAAAGGCGTTCTCAAGTGATTTACAGTCGCGTGTGCTCATTGGCACCATAGCAGAGTCCCCATGACTCCCCTTCCCCCATTTATTCCCCTATCATTTCTCTAACCTCCAGGCCCTCTCTGTGTCCCTCAGGTGCCTCCTTCATGGGTTCATTCCTGGCTAG